TGAAGGCCAGGTGGTGCAGGACAGCAGCAGGACCAAACTAGGACAGTGCTCCACAGCACACTAGAATCACTGGTGAGCCTGTCTGCATCTGGGTGGAGTTGGGCCCAACTGCACAGCTAATAAAAAATAAATTTCCATGAACATTAAAATGTTGTTAAAAGATCCCAGTAGAGGACCCAAGTCCCTCCCAGAGCCAGAAGAGCGGAGCTAGCTAGGCAGAGAAGACAGTGTTGTATGCCAATTAAAGCTGAATACCAATAAATTGCAGTATATTAAAGAGGAAGAGAGACACCCACCCCACTTACAGTGCAGCCATCCTCTGTACCTCAAATTTGTAATGAAGTTCACCATACTAGAAGCCAAACTCATTTAGCTGTGTTTAGCTTATGGACCACACTAAATAATATTAACTGGGAAAACATAACAAGGGGAGTGAAATTAGTGATACAAAAAGCCCTTGTGGAAATGTAAAACATTAAACCATTGTATATTTTTCTGCTGCCTAGATGTGCTGCACTTGAGGAAACATTCTCCATCACCTTGACAGCATGCTTCCTTTCTGTATACTGAAGTTTATTTACCTGAATTATTAATGCTGCTTTTGTTTGTAGCTATATCTTAATTTTCTTCTTTTCATTCACCTGTCATGATTGTTTTGATTCACATCCCAGGATGATGCACAAAATATTTCCTTTGGAAACACTGTAGTGTCACCAATATTTTTGCTCTGTTAACAGATTATTCTGTCTTCACAGTAAAACCAGATCATTTCATTTTTTTCATGGAAACTGTCAATCACTGAGATTATTCTTTAAATGTATTGAGCGGATAAAAGATAGAATTTAAACTACATATCATATGTCAGCAGAGAACACCGAGTGCCCTGCAAACAGAGAAACCACACAGTTCTCTCCTTCTAAATGAAAAATAAGCCCACAGCAGCAAACGAGGTATCCTCAAACAATTAGTAACTATCAAGACAAAATTCTTCTGCATATGATGTGGCGTAATGCAGCTGCATTACTGTATTTATTATTTGTGGAAAAAAGCAGAACTAAACCCTGTGGATTTTACTATGCATTCAGCCTTATTTATTTCTTCTGTCTAGGCTAAGATTCTGGATAGAAGAAAGATATGTTTATATTTAAATGCTGTTGTTTTATAAATTAAGAGCTGATAAAAGCAGAGGTGAGGGATTGCAGTAATTAATGTCAAATGAATGTCCACAAATTTTATGGTACAGGAAAAGAGAGGGGAAAAAATGATGCTGTAATGGGAGAATAGAAAGTTTTAGTGATTTTTCCTTTAAATTACGTTTTAAACTTTCTCTTCGGGAAGCAGAGTAGAAAGAGCATTTTACTTAACTAGGAGTTACCTGGAATTCTTTTTTTTTCTCCCACCTGGAATTTTTTTTTTTTTTTAAGTAAAATGTCTACCCAACTTGTATACAAAATTCAAAAAGATTCTCCTGAACACACAATATGGAGACACCATATGTACAAACAGCACACAATTTCAAACAGACTAGGCTCATTGGAAAAAACTTTTTTTTTATTTGCCTTTGATTTCTTTCAGAAGGATAAAATGAAAGGGACAGTGATACATATTTTAAGCCCTGTGAATTCACAATGGGGCTTTAGAATAAAGAGGTAAAAACCTTTGAACTAAACAAAGGTCCATCATGGTGCACTTCTTTTTCACAAGCACCTTATAAAGAAAATTATGCCAGAGACAGGGCCCAGCTGGCTTTTGCCACTACACCTCTCCTCCACAACACCCCAGCATCCTTCCCAGTCCCTATCAATCTCCTGTATGCCATGTCATTGACTCCTCTTGGACCTGATCTCTTATCTCATAGAGCTGTTTTTTAGTCGAATGCCCTGTGAAAGTATCCACTCATGAGCTTACATCTGAGTGTCTCTTTGTACTAAGCAAAGCCTGTAGTCTAGCAGGCTGCATTAACTTGATTAAAGTGGGACCACAGACAGTTACTTAGGCTCTTACTTTGCTCTTAGATTAAAGACAAGAAGGTTTCTTTCTCTCAAGGTTTTTTTGCAAAACTGCAACTTTCAAAAGGGTCAGCAAAAGACAAAGGCTCTTATAACAGAAGGAAAGAGGCTTTTATAACAAATGATTTCTAATTGGTCCTTTGTTCCGAAAAGACAGCAGTTATACCAGCTGAAACATAACAATCCATCAGCATTTCTTGATGGAAAGTTTGTACACAAGGCTGCAGAGAAAGAGCCTTCTCTAAGTTCCAGTAATTTCAAAAACATTATTTCCTTGTAAATAACACCTTATTTAATCCACTTAAACCCAGAAGATAAGCACGTATGACTGGCTGGGCATAATAGTCTATTTTCACTACTGGACTATAAAGCTGCTTGTGAATTTCTTCCATTTAAGCTTTAAGGAGCAGAATGGTGAAAATGCTCTGCCATGGGTTTTGCTCTTGTGTATAACATTTTATATTCCTTACTAAATGCATTCTAATCATGAATCAGTGGGCTAGATTCTGATCTAATGCCACAGACTGAATTATTTCAGTTACAGATGCACAAAGGGCATAAACAAAACAACCAGGCTCACATTTGCAGCAGGTAACTGCTAAAAACACCACTGATTTGGGGGGGAAAAAATAACAAATTTTCATACTTAACTGCTAAATTCAGCAACAATTCTTCAGAAAGGAGTTATATACTTTTCAGACATAGTCTACTCATTAGCAAAGAGTAGTAATTTTAGATTTCCTGTAAACCCAGCATGAAAGCATGCATCTATATCTGTATTCATTAATGTACCTAAACAAAGCTGCGTATTTCTAGGCAAGGCTCAAAATTCTTTCAGCCACACCACAGTGGTGCTCCTGATCAGGCCATGGTGCTTTGCACTACTCCAGTCATGACCTGGGCTTTGCAAGTGCTTTGCTCTTACTGTGACTGCAAGAAACAGCCAGGAGCCTAAGACTACAGCTACAAAGCTGGGAAAATTTTAGATCTCAGCCTGGTCTATTAAACCTGTATGTGGAAAACTTGGACAGGGAAGAAAGAAGGGTGTTTTGGTGGTGCACAGCCTGGGATCTGCAGAGTGGGAAAGCATGTCACCAGTGCCGTGCTCACCAGGAAGGTGCTGCATCTCACTGGTTTTAGCTGAAGGTCCCAGGAGGTGTGGGTTCAATTCTCACATGGTTTTTGTTACAACAATAGGGAGATTTTAAAAGGTATGTGGCTTCATGAGGACATAGAAACCCTAATGTGCTTTGAAGAGCCCAAGTACCTGACACTTAAAGATGCATTTGTTTTAAAACCCTGGTGGAGGCAGAGCCAGCAGAGGGAATGCTGGATAAGGCCCCTCTCTGACCTCTGTGGTATGAGGCTATCTTCATTCTCCCAGGCTCAGCTGGCACTCTGCTGGGCAGGCCTTTGTGGCTGACCACCTCTGCCAGCGCCCAAAGGTGCTACCATAATTCCAGAGTGCCCCTCCTTCATCAAAAGGAAGGAATAATCCTCATTACACAGTCACTCCTCCTGCCCTGCCCCACCTGAAAGAGACCTGCTGTCTGCTTTGCAGCCTTTGTCCCTCCCTCCAGAGACAGGCAAGGTGACTTTCTGGGATAGGAGCTATGTAGTTCCTCTGTAAACTGCTGTGGACACTTTGTTACAATAGGAATAGTTATTACTGATAGAATATAATGTTATAAATAAAGCAGTGAGAGAGCTAATGGCGTTTCTTTGGAAAATAAAAAACGAAAAAAGCAGACAGAAAACTACCTCCCCTTGGGGGTAAAAAACACAGAACATTGATTACTCTTAAAGGGACCATCTCAACTTACCTTTGAGGACTCCCATTGATCTCAGATCTGTTTTCCCTCACAGGCAAAAAGATAAGTATTCTCTTGACATTATCCTTTCTTCAGCAGACTGGGCTAACGGGAAGATTTTTATTTCAAATATGCATGTAGCTATGGTGTACTCTGGACTCAGTTTATGCCCCTCTGCACATGTACAATGGCACGTTAAGAAATAGCCTTTCTTTCTGTCAAGGTATGCAGAGAGAATGATGACAGCAGTGTTCCCTTTGCTACTCACAGGACTTCTGTGTGTGACTGAGAGCTGACATATACCCAGAGAGAGAGAACAAAACTGAAACTTATTTCAGGAAGTTATTTCAAATAGCATCTACTGTTTTGGGATCTCTAAGGAGGAGGGTAGCAAGGGTGCAGGCTAAGGTCCACATTATCAATGAGGCACTTGCATAGATCACAATATTGATAATACAGAATCTTACTTGACACACACCCCAAAAAAAATACAGGAACAAAAATGTACAAACTTACATATTTGTCAAAGGATTCTTTAAAAGCAGTTGCTAGTAAAACAGGATTTCTACCACAACCCCAAGTCCTATCTTTAGTTAGTCTTTTGTTAATTCAGCTACTCCCAATTTCATCAAACAGGAACTGTATCCCCAGGAGTTCTGACAAAGGGACCCAGCTTTATGGGGACGATTATCCACTTACAACTTAGAGCACTAGCAACAGACATCCAGATGCAACTTAAACTTTGAGCACTGGCAACAGACTAAAGACAGACATCTCTGGGAACATCAGGAGAAAAGAAAGTGTGAGAAAGTGCATGAAAGAAAGAAAGTACAATATGAGTATTTACTCATGTGAGTAAAGGGAAGACAATTATACCTGGCAGTTTTGTGGGAAGTGGAATCGAGGTCCTTAGTATCAGGATTGAACCTGCTTGTTTCCCCTTGTTCCCTCTAATTCTCTTTTCCTATGTAGATCCCATAGTTATACAGAAAACCTTCACTGATTCTTAAGGAGCTTTTTCAGATGCACATGTGCTAAAAAAGGAGGCTCTTAACTAAAAGCACTATTTGGGGCAGTACTTTGTTAGAAGATAAAATATTGCTGTTAATACTGGGCTGAGCCAGGGGAACAATAGACAGCTTCTCCCACAAACACAAGTGAGGTGCCACAGAGCCATTACCTTAGAAATCCCACGCAGAAGAGGATAACCCATAGCTACCAGCTCCTTGCAGCTTTCTGGATTTGTCCATAGAGAGACACTGTATGACCACATCTGGAAGGCAAAATGCACTGCGGTAACTCCTGTCCTGTACCCATTATGGGCACCATGATCCCTGAGGTGGCAAGAAACAGTAGCAGGCTCATTCAGGAGTATTTATCTTCTTTAATAATTGCTAACAGCTCCCACCTGACCCCCCCAAGGCACCCTGGGACAACCTTGGTGTTTAGCTCCTGCAGCTTCACACTGATCTTTTGCTCCAGCAGCATGGTCGTGAGCCAGAGGATTGCCTGGGTGCAGGGAGCTCTGTGTTACAACTGTTACATGAGGAGAGATGAAATGGGGCTCCTGGGCCAGTGGTAGCTTGTGGATGGGGCTGGTCAGGGACATTAAGGACTGGTGGGGCCCTGACATGAGCCTACCTTGGTGGAAGGTCCTACTCTTGACAGCATACTGGCCCTCCTGGTGAGGGGTGTGGAAGTCCAGCTCTCCAAATCTTGTTCCCACTCTTGTTCAAAGCCTTCAGCTTTGCACCTGGGGCAAATCCCATTTGCACATGGACTCACTCAAATGTAAGAGCCATGGTCTTTCTCCAGACACTTGAAGTCACTGGCTAAGAATGGATTAATGATTGCAAGGACTTCCAGCCTTCTTCTTCCCAGAGCTGCTATCTGAGGCCAGCCAGTCACCCACTAAGTCACTCCAACACATACCTGGAAACAATCACCATGTTCCAAGAGCTCCAGCAACACCCTGGAGCTGGGAAAGAGGTTCCTTCAGCCAAGGAGCCCATGGGGAGGCTACACACAGAGCTGGAGGACAATTCAGGCTGGAAAGTGCTGCTGGAGATTACCTCACCCAATCCCACCCCACCAGAACAGGACCAGCCCAGGTCCTGCTGCACCTCCTGCAGTACTGTTCCTAACTGCTGCCATGAAACTCAGCCAGACCTAGGCACTTCACAAGGAAAAAAACCCTTTTTCATAGCTCTATATTTCACCTATTTATTTTGGCTTTCACACCTTCCTGCCTACATTTGTTGTGAAGGCAGTAGAACTGGTGCTCAGCATTTTAGTGAATTGGTTGCCCAGGTTTTATTTTAGTCTGAAAGCAAAGTGATGATATACACATATGAGTAATGTAGCACAAAGGCATGTTTACTGAAGCATGCCACCATGATGCTCCAGTTAAAAAAAAATAACAAGCAACAAATCTGTTTCATCCCCAGCCATACATTAGAAACTATATCTATCTGCTGTTTAGATCATGACCAGAGCAACACTTTTGGGTAAATACAGATTTGCATTACAGTCCTCTGGTGTGTCTCCACAGCAGTGGATGGCCAGGGGTTAAAAACGGGGTGTGCGTGTGTGTGTGTGTGTGGTGTGTGTGTCTGTGGGTAAGCATGCTCACTGCAGGCTTAAATAATATTTTCTAACATTTCTTTAAAATTTCCTTAATTTACAGTCACTGAGAACAAGGTTTCAAAGCGTTGAGAGGGAAGCTGTTCCTCAACAGACACTCGTGTAAATACATTGCTTTAAAAAGAAAAAAAAAACCAAACCCTTTCCATCTCTACCAGTGAAATGGCTACAAATGGGCTGCCATTAACTTTTGTTACTTGAGTAGGTGCCTGTAAAGGGCCAGGTGGTGTTTATGCAGATGAATGAGCATGTTACAATGTGTTCTTCCTTTTGGATAAAACATTAGCGTATCAGATGTGACAAATCAGATGTTCATCTTCCGCACTTCTGCATTATTTTACATTGAGAATTAGATAATGTGCTGGCTTAGCTTTTTACTTCGTGGGTTTTTTTCCTCCCTTCTTCTCCTCAAGAATAATTTTATACATAAAGTTTTTCAACACTCTGCATAATCATAGTCTCACCGTATGTCTAACCAGTAAGGTATTATGGTAATTGTGTATTTCCAGGTAGCAGGCTTTGCATTAGATGGAAGTGTACATTGTTTAACACGCTGCATAATTATTGTGAAACGGAAATAATGGACCTACATGTTCAGGGATTTTTTTAATTCTGTTTTCCTACCAGAGCAGCAGATAATTCTTGTGTTTCCAGCAGCAGCGGCAGCAAAATAAATATTAGAATGTCTTACAACCAGAGGTATGCAAATAATTGAATCCTCAGTTTGGTGGCTAAACTGAAAAAAATAACCTTTCATTTTAAGCTGACAAGAAGAAAAGGTATTTGGGTTTCATAACGAGAAGAAATAAATAATATTTTGTGCTTATGACTGGTTTAGTTGTATTTAGCCACATCTGATGTCAAAACATGACCCTTAGATCTAAAAAATCAGAACTTTTAACTTCAAAAAAAAATCCCAAAGTTATTTCATTATTTCATTTTGTCTATTTTTGTCTATCTTAAAACATTTGAAGATTTCAGTTTCAGCCATCAGGAAGCAGTATTTTTAATGAGCAGATTATGTGCCTGAGATATTTCACTTCACTCTGATTCAAATGTTCAACATTAACTTCAAGTCTCTCTGACAATTAGACCACAACTGTCCTTCCATTTTTATGTTATTTCTTTACTCTGTCAAATCAGGGTAGTTTTCCACTTCGAGGAGATTGAATATATTCAGCAAATGATACAGTCATGGCCCATATGCCCTGTGTATTTTGCCATTAATTGTCCTCAAAGAATTGATCTCTGCATAGTTACTCTGCCTGGCCTTCAGTCCTGTGTAGATCTAATTCCTTTCTTTACCAGCAGCACAGGCCAGTCTAGGAGGTAAACTATGGATCCATAATTCCTTGTGCTGGAGAAGGGCTATAGCAGTGTCTAGTATAGCTAAATCCAGGTATATTCCAGGCCTAGGGCCAAATTCATCTCATGGAAATTCAGTTGATTGTTTAATAGAACCAGAAAATTGGTGGCTGACTGTACTAAAACCACAAACTGTGAGTACAAGACTAAGGGTTTGTACTTGTTTAAGGTACTTGTACTGTGTAAAGGCTCAGCAAGCCCCATGGTTACAGAAAGACTTTGGATTTCCAAGCACTGCCTGTGGGAGATGAGCACCAACAGGATGCTGCAGGGAAGGCTGCGTGGCAGAGCCAGCCGTGCAGGATTTGCTGGGGGAAAGATAGGCCAGGCTCTCCTTGCAGAAAGATGAGCCCCTCCAGGGGCTGAGAATGTCTCAGCTTGCCCAGGGTCTGGCCAACCTCGGTGCAAACAGATCACGGGAGTGGAAAAACTCTTATCAGGATAAGATTTTTTAGTATTAAATAGATGCCTTTTTAGTTTGCCAAGCTTCACTTTACTTGAGTGACACCAGCAGAATACACAACTGGCCCAGTTAAATGCACAGCTCACTTCTGTCTACATCTTGTAGGCAACATGTTCAAATGAATTCAAAATCAAGGCTGCAAAAGAATTTCTCATCATCCAAGACAGCAGCTTTAGTTCCCATAATTGTGTTGTTTTGTCCAAGGCTGAAAGGATAAAACAATGCTGCTGGGGGACAGCAGTCGTGGTAGCTGTGTGGTCTCACTGTCATGTGTCACACAGCCACCTCAGCGCAACTGCTTCACGTTGCCCCATAAGGATAGCCTAAATTTAACTTCTGGTGGCAGAAGAACATCATTGTGCCTGCAGGAAGCATTAGCTCCCATCACCATGAAGGCCACAAGTTATTAGCTGGTCCCTGGTTTAGCCACCCCAGTCTTAGGTACTTGTATTGGTCAGCCTGTGGCGCTTACCAGCTCCAGACTGATTTATGAAGGGTTAACTTTAGCTCCCTGGTGAAATTACAGGAAAAAACTATAGCCAAACTGTTGCTAATGTGACAGCCTAAAAGTGGAGTCCATTTGGGGGTACCTTTCAAATTTTCAAACAAGTGAGGATATCACTCTAAGTCTCCAGGTCTCTCTGATATATCAAGTGCAGGAGGTGCTCACTGAGCTCCAGGATGGGGCAAGCACAGGGGTGTTTGTGCAGTTGCAGGCTGGGGGACATGCCAACAGTCCTCTGGCTCTGCCCCTCACATCACTGGGACTCTGCACAGGCCAGCACCTGGAAGGTTGGTCAGCATGGACACTTCTGTTCTCTCCAAATGGGCCCTTAACATTCCAAGGATTCTTGAGAAAGAGTTATCCCTGCTTTACTTCCACGTGAATTGATGGGGCAAAGCAAGAAGCACCACCCATAAGTGGACATTTTTTCCACAGCCTCACTCTGGGCTGCACATTTGCTTGCTGCCTACCTTCTCCTGAAATTAGTAAAAGAAGGCTTTGCACATCCTCCCCTTCCTGATCTAGCCCTGTCCCCAACATCCAGACCAAATAAACACAAGAGGAAAAGCTCATTCTATGTCTCTCACCTAAAAAAGACACTCCTTCCAAGTACCTCAGTACTCAATAGTTAAGGTTCTCCTTGGTGAAGGAAGTGACCATGTTCTGCAAGAGTTTAATCAGTACCAATGACCTCATCCCTATGAACATGTTCAGAAAATACTCCAGGACAACTGTGTTCTCATTCCACACACACAAAAAAAGTGTTTCCAGCAAAGCACAGCCTCACCAGCACAGATGTTATTTGCTGTTTAGGGAATCTTACTGCAAAAGACTAATAGTTATTTTACTCTTCACACAGTAGCATTGCCACAATATGGGCCAGGACCTTTTTTTTTTCCTATTTCATGTGACCCTGGCAACAGCACTCTGTTTATAACTTACCTAAGAAAAGTGCTTCTGAGGAAAATAAAGCTAATGAAAAACAGTCATTTTTTTGTCTTCCTGTACGTCATCCTGTTGGTTTTATTTAAAAAAAAATAATTAAATTTTTTTTTAAAAAATCAAACAATAAGAGTTATCAATCCCCATCCATGACTTACTCAGATTTGGTTTAACACTGCAGGTCTCAGCATGCATAACTCTGATTTCTGCTAACTGGTCTCAGCCTAGTATTTTCACACTTTTTTTTGTACTAAATGCTTATACTTGGTCAGTCCACTAGAAACTGTCACCAGGACACCTTTATTTAGAATTTTTACAACACAAAAAGCACCAGAAATTAATCTCAAAATAATAA